AAAAGAGGTGTTCAAGTTCCAGGATAAAGGGGTGTCCAAGATATAGGGTATTGTGGACATGTAAAATTATAGGATATTCGCCGGTTCCAATTAAAAGTGTCCAATATAAAGGGGTTTCCAGGATATAGGGGTGTCCAACTAGAGGGGTTTTACTGTATCAGCAGAGCAGGGCCGTACAAAAGTATCTAGGAGCCCGGGGGCAAAGCTCCATTCGGGGCCCCCTTGAATATTTTTGACAACTCATTCAGTTGAGGGGCTCGGGGACAAAGACCCCTGCGCCCCCTCTGCACGGCCCTGCATCAGAGGCTATAAGCCGTGCTATCAGTGAATACTTTTTACTCAGATAACGTACGAGCATCGTTAACAACAGTCAGGACTGTTGTGCTGTAAAGTTGTGCTATCACGGCTGGATTAAGTGTACAATGGGCAGGTAAGACCAAAGTTAACCACAGACGAAATGAAACTATTTTGTATAAGGAATCACATTTAAGGTCCTTCTGCATTTCTCGATATTTTCTATACATTTAGAAGCGTCTGTATTTGAAAGTGGATGTAACCACGGCATTTTTGTCTGCTGTCCTTTCTTTCTAAGGAAAGAAAGTACGCTTATGAAACCAACATATTCACTGCGTGTGTGTCCCCCTTTGAATGTTCTGACCATCTGACCGATTTTCATGAAATTTTATACGAAATCTACAAATAACAGCAACAGCAATGCACAAATCTGTGAGCTGGGCACGACATAGGAGTCACTAAATACAGAGTATTGATATTGTGTTTAGTAACAGATGTTAAAAAAGTGTCACACGGCGCCAAACCCTGAAGACCACAAACAACAGCACCAGATCCGCGAATCTTAAACCTCATTTTAGATATGATTTTAACGTCTTCATACAAAATTCCATATTTATAGCTCTCTTGGCACATCAGTTATTGTAAAATTAAAACTTTAAACATATTTACACTTCATTATACAAAACTTGCCCCAACAAAAGGTGCCTTGTAGGTGGTTACTAGCGTTTCGGATATACGAATCGCCTCCATACACCCTAAACACTACTTGCAACATATCGTTTAAAGGTCAGCAACTGTAAACATGGCGGCGGTGTATTTGACGTTATAGCTGAAAAATATCGGCATTACATAAGTTCTTCACATATATATAGTAGTACTAGCAAATATGTTGTCCGCGTCATTTATCATGTTCTTGCGAGGGGAAGGAGGAGGCATAAATTTATATTGTACGTAAACTGTAATTACGTCAGATAATTAAACACTGGTATATTTAATTAGTTTGTGTTGATGTGATGAGACTAATCAAATCTGAAACACAGCCGGTCGATATCGTTTCAAAATGAAACTGAGTTTATTTCAGTGCCTATTAGACGATACACAGTTTTTGTGATTTCTTTAGGTAAAGTTTTGAATTTCATTACGTACACTGGCCAACCCCAATTCCTTCAGAATACGATGATAGTCACTGAATTTCAAGAAATTTCTTGTTTAAGAAACAGAAACATTATTCATCGTGTTTACACGAGCCAGCCACTGGATCCTGTCCAGAACCTTATCATAAAACCAGTAGGCAGCGTCGGTGAAGGTCGAAGGCCGCCTCGTGTCTCTCACACCTGTATTTGTATGGGAATTGCATTTTTCCTTATATCGTTGTCATAGTTTGCCTTATACATGAATGGATACTTTTACCTGAGCACGACAAAGAAAACCCGAGGGCAAATAATTTTGTTGGTCTTTATCTACAATAACGTACTTCTCGATGTTTAACCAGTGATGTTGTTATTTGGATTTGTATGTTCGCATCATGGGTACTGGAATTATTTTTATTGAGATGATTGGTACTTTTAATTTGAATACTTTGAAATTGTTGTCAGAGGTCAATAAACTGGTTGGGAAGATAAGTCTGCCACTTTTGAGTTGTAAAAGCAGCATTGGATTCTGTAGGGTTCTGACGATGGTGTGGTTTAATGGGTTTTTGGACTTTGTCCATCGTCCAAGGTTACGAAGTCTAAAAACCCAATAAACCTGAAAGCAGCTTTGTCTATTGCGATGTCGGATCTTACATGGGATAGTAATTTAGAAAGAAAATTTCAATCAGGTGCATCTAAACGAAAAGAAAATCTAAGTTAGAGAGAAGGAATCTAGAATTCGCGGGCCACTTCCACATTCTTCGAGAAGAATCGATAATTTAGATGAAAATGGAAAGCCGGTGAAATACTTGTATGAATCGGGTAAGTCAATTCTGAAGTGATAGTTTTCAATGGTTAGAATTATAACTGAAACCACGTAAAATGCCTTTCTTGAATATTTTCTCAAGGGGCTTCTCTAATCAATATCGTCTAAAGCCTTTATCTCAATGACATCTACATGTTTAAATTACGTTATCTGCTGTTTATTATTGAGTCCTCTTAATAAAAAGATAAAATTAATATCAGCTCCATGTAAATTACAAACTAGGATTATATACAGTATGTTAAAATATTGCCTTTAAACATTTTGAAGGGATATCGTATGACCACAAGCAAGTACAAATTCAAAACTCTCTACTTTTGAAGTGTATCTACTTCAAGTTTGTACTAGCACGTGCTGAATTCTCGGTAGGTAATTTCCTGATTAGTGTGGATAATTAAGCACAAGTTGGTTAAGTGAAGAAGTTTTACTTTAGACAATTCAGCGGCAGATCTACAAACACATATACCATCTTTACTAAGGTAACTACTGTGAAGAACATTATCATTTGTTGCTAGCAGAATCTGGCGTATATAATGCCTGAAATACGTACCACAAGACCAGGTTTGAGGTAGTTAGAGAGCTTACCACCACAGTTTTGCCTGTCCTCAAGTTTAGGATAAAAGGTGGTGCAATGTAAGTCGGAAAACGTAACTACTTTCTATGTAATTACACGAGATCCCTGTCTAACCTCTTCAATTTCATACCAACACTACGAAAAGACTATAGCAGCTAAAAGAATACAATTTTCGGCATCAGGAAGAGAATCTCAAAGAAATTTTTTGCGTGACTTCGAAATTGCCACTCATTGTGTTCCTTCATTGTGGCGCAAGGATACAATCGACGAGTTTAAGAAGATGAAAAAAGATCAAGGCAGAGTTTTACAAGTCTGCGTTAGGGAATATCCATATAAAATATGAAATTATGCGTGATCGTGTGTCCGACGAGAAGGTAGAACAAATCTGTCACGCGCTCCTGGTAATCCCGGCTAAATCCATCCCCTAAGCGTCCAGTGAACTGCAGGTAACACGTATCCAGGAGCACAGTCCTTAAGATAAACCACATGAAAGGAATTTGCTATGGACGTCCTGCATCGGATCGACAGATATGGGATCCTGGCTTCCTCCCAGACATCATGCTTTATGATGAGTAGGGTTCGGATGTTCATGACATGTCATTTTCATTCGGGCTTCTATTTTCATTCTAAGCTGAAATTAAACACTAACTGGGTTATTCTAATCATAATTATGCTGTTTTTATTTTGCATATAAATGCATATTTAGGTCACTTTTATGTGTTTGGTCATATTTGTAGTTAAATGCATATTTTGGTTATATTTTGAGGATAAAATTTATATTTTGGGTAAAAATTCTACTTGTAACTACATTTCTCAGACACTTACAGTGAATCCCTATGTGAAATGATGGCGTCTGCCAACTGAACAAAGTGAACAATGAGTAGTTCAAATTTTTCTTGGAGAAATACACGACTCAGTTAATTCCGGATGAGTCAACACTAAGAAAAAACTGTGTACCTGCCTGTTATGAGGATGTTCTGAAATGAAACAACGGATGTCTGCTGCAAATATGTAGCGAATGTCGTTATTGGCACTCTCTTTGCTGACCGCCCTGGTGATTTATTCCTTCTTGACACAGTAAACCACTCCTCTATCGCTGTACTTTTCGATAACGCCATGAAATGTTTGTGACGTCAAAAGGAGCTTCTCAAGTTACAAGACCATATTGTACGACAATCTAAGAAGATTTTCATTTGAGACCTTGAAAATGTAAATCATTATATATTGTAATGCTGCCAAGAAAGGAGAATGAAGAAATGTACTTAATATTTTGAATTTTGTTTATTTATTTATTTGTAATTAATGAATTTGAAATGCATGAAAGGCTCTTTCTTAAAATTTATCCTATTTTTATAGGAGCACGTATACTCAACAACTGATGCAGATCCAAAACGAGGCATTTACAACTTAAAGCGACTGAAGTTTTTGATTAAAATTGCTAGGAAATCAAGTAATGTAATAGTTGTACATGCATATGTAAATAAAAAACATGGTTAAAATACAAAGCGTTTTTTTAAATTTTAACGAATACTTTTTCATAACAAATTAGGTCATATTTTGCCTTTTATGGGTCATATTTGGCTATTTTGGGGGGCATATTTGCATGCATATATCTCGGTTTTTAGGTCATGAACATCCGAACCCTAGTGATGAGGCTACTTTTCAAGGTCAATGAAGTCAATCGGAAAGCCGCCACATCTACAGAGATGAAGTCTGATATCGTAGATTAAACGCATGGAGTGCCTCGAAAGATAAGATTACTGGGCCTTTTCTTTCGTGGCGGAGGATACAACAATGGGTGACGCGAACCTTGACATGCTGGGAACAATTCACGTAACCCCCAATCAGCGGATTTTAGCCGAACATCATCTACCAAGAAGGATTTGTAAGTGCACGTGACCTGATAGCCGTTTGCTACCAGGTCACATGCACTCAGCGACCCACACTTCGTTACTTTCATGTAAAACTGCGTGATCGACCAAAGTTACTTCCCCAGTTAGCAGCGGAATTAAAATGCGGGAAATTACAATACAATACACATAGTTTGCTTTCGACTACTCACTGACTCTATGGTGCAGGATATTCTTTGAAAAGTCGATTGTATCCTCGGCTTGTCAAAAAAACAGCCCACTTTCTTTATGGGACCCGAAGGTTCACTATGTCAGCCACCGGACTCTATCTTGAGCCAGCTGCACCCAGTTTCATCCATGTTAATGTTATCCTTCCTCCTACGCCTAGGTCTTCTCAGCGGTCTCCTCCCTCTATCAATGCCACTAAAACTGTATAAAAAATTTTAACGTATTTTTTATTCTGTGCTAATTCATTTGTTGAGATGACAACAAAGTCTGAAACAGAGGGTCCTGAATTTGTTTGAGGACTTAACATTATTTTGTAGATTATTGTTAAGTGATATATATTTATCCTTTAAAACGGATAGTGAAAAAGACTTTATCCAAGGTTCCAGAAAGGTAAACATCAACTTGTGTACGTACGTAACGTGTTTATACAACACACACGAATGTATTTGATTCTTAAAACCACGGACGTCTTCCGATTCTCATTTATCTGTTTCTGTCCACACTGCTCTTCTTCCACTAGTCTTTCTGCCATTTCATCTTGATATCTTTTCATCTGACTCCGTGCCTTCAACATTCCCGGTGTTGTCCATAATTCTTTGTACAAGTCCGTACTATATTAACTGTTTAGTTTTTATATAAATCAAAATATTATTTTGTAAATCAGTATTTCTCTATTTCATGGTTTGGGATTGTCTTTTCTTGATATCTTGCCGATCTTCTGGGGGGAAAAACAAAACAAAAAATTCCATGTCCAGTGCTAGTAATTCCTCGTTTTTAAAATTTCACATATCTGAACTTATTTACACAATACGAGGTGCTACCCAAAAGTTCGGGGAATTTGAATTCCACGTGTGAACTGGTTGTGGAATGGCCTGCCGCCGCTAGATGGGGCGAGCAGTACCCTTCGTGAATTAGTGTGCCAACAGCCGTGAAGGCGAGAGGCCGCGTTCTTGAATCTCGTGCGTTTTTGTAACGTTGTGTTGTAGCGGTTCGGCGATTTTTTAAACCTGCATAAATGGCAGATTTTAAGGAGCAAAGAACCTGCATCAAATTTTGCTTTAAGTTTAAAAAAAACTGCTGTAGGAACCCACCGCGTGCGTGTGGAAGCATTTGGTGAGAATTCTATGAGTCAAAGTAAAACTTTTTTGTGGTACAAACGCTTTAAGGATGGACGAACGTCTGTCGACGTCGATGAGCAATGTGAAGTCCATGTTGATATTTTTTGACATCCAAGGTATTGTCCACAAGGAATTTGTCCACCCTGGTCAAACTGTCAACGAGAAGTTTTATTGCGAAGTTATGACGCAGCTACGGGAGAGCGTCCAGAAAAGTGGGAGAACAACTGCTGGGTTCTCCACCACGACAACGCGCCCGCCCACACATCGCTCGTTGTTCGGCAGTTTTTGGCTTCTAGTGATTCCCCACCCACCCTATTCGCCTGACCTCGCCCCCTGCGACTTTTTCCTGTTCCCCAAAATGAAATTTCGATTGAAAGGCCGTCGTTTTGACACAATTGAGGAGATCCAGGCAGAATCGCAGGAGGTGCTTAAAACACTCACACTCGAAGACTTCCAGGGATGCATGGAGTCATGGAAAAAACGCTGGGATCGCTGTATCCATGCCCAAAGGGACTACTTCGAAGGAGACGGTGGAAACTAGGAGTTATGATACGCAATTTATTTTATGGGCAAGTTCGCTGAACTTTTGGGTAGCACCTCATATATCTGCTCGTTTGGATCATAATTAATCTTGACACCCCTAAATATATTCGTTTTCGGTTTGTTATATTATTTGTTCAAACTAGCGCTAAACACACTCATGTTATGTGTTCTCTGAATTCACTTGTTCGAAGGATATAAGTGGTAAAACTTTCTTTCTAGGAAGATTCGACAGGACAAGAATAAAGTAGTAATTTAGATAATTTAAATATTTTCAAAATAATACAAAAAATTAAAAAGAAAACCTGGTCTAGAGGGTTGCTTGAAAAATGCGGATGTTAAGGTTTAAAGTATCGAAATTTAAATGTTAAGCACTATAGCGTGTATCTTCCCATAATTAAACAATTACAAACTTGTGTGTTTTATTTGTTGCAGGATGAAAAGTTATCTACTTCGCTTCTTGTTGCTAACAGTTGCCACTTCAACAATTTTTGCAGTTCTCTGGCATATCAGCACCATCACCTCATTGCATCGATTACCACAATCAAATATATTTGCCGAAACTGAATTTGTCTCAGTGACTGAAATATCATTTGAAGATTTTAATAACGAGACTGGTACCAAAAATGATACATATATAGTTCCCAACATTATTCATTTTCTACGATTCAAACAGGAAAATTTCTCCTTTGTTGATGCAGTCTGTGTGCTGTCTGCTTTCAAAAACCATCGTCCTGACAAAATAATGTTCCACACAGACGTCGACGGTTTCATTGGTCCTTACTGGGAAAAGGTGAAGAATACACCAGGTATAGTGTACGAAATACGGAGGGTTGTTCTACCGGATGAAATTTTCGGACAAAAATTCAGTGAAGACTATCACCTCTGGCACGCAGGTGACGTAACGAGGATCAAAATCCTCATGGAACACGGAGGAATATTTCTAGATAATGACATCTATGTCGTACAGAGTCTGGAAAAATTTCAGAAGTTTGAAATGACAATCGGCTGGGACGAAAATCAATGTATAGGTACTCAGGTCTTAATAGCCAACAAAAATGCTAGGTTTTTGCGTCTGTGGTTGCTGTCCTACAGAAAGTATTACCCAGATAAATGGTATTACAATGCAGGGTGTAAACCGACCGAAGAAGTGTTGTACAAGAGACCGGAACTTGTTCATCGCGTCAAACTTCTATTCGGTGTACACATGCTAGTGCATAATCTGTACAAGACAATGTGGAAAGATTGGCGCAAACAGTACACGGTACATTTGCTAATGCGACATAGATCATACCTTGACAAAGAACATCTCGATAAATGGCCAAGTTTCGATGAGAATAATATTAAGGATTATCCTATGACATTCGGTGAGATGGCCAAGGAGGTGTATGGTATTTCTTAACATTAAACAACCTAGAATTATCCATAACTTTTAATGAAAACATCAAATAATATCATTTGAAATCCGGTGAGATACCAGTGTTATGTATATTTCCAAGTTTAAAAAGAAACCCGAGGACATTGCTGCCAGGTGATTATGCTATTTCATTGCCTGGCTATTTTAAGTGACAATACTGCGTAATTACTCGACTATAACATTTTAAAATAATTCTTTTTACATATTTTCTGGCTATAAGAACTGTAAGGACAGTAGAAAATCTTCAACTACGCAGTTACATGTATATAATCTCTTTGGTTTGTCTGCGTTGTGCACCCAAATACCACCATTAAAAGTAGGATTTGAGGTTTATACGGCGGTGAGTCCAAAGATGGCTTTCGTCTCATCTCCTGATGATGGAGCTATCAAGGACCTCTGAAATGTTACTAGATTTCTACTAGACTACGCGACGCAACAAACCAGAAGACAGCAATCTTACCACCATTCCAAATGGTAATACCAAACTTCGTTATTTAGTAATCAAAATCGACAATGATAGGATGATGATAATTTGTAAATGTTAGTGAATTACGAAAGAGTTAGCGATTAGTTTCATTATAAAACTTATCACTTGCAGAAAGAAATGCAGAAATTTCTCGAAAGCTTCAGTGGTTCGTAACGTTTCTGAAAACCACCATACACAGCCGCCTGCAACGTAATCTTTGAAAACGACGCTTCGATGCTGTTTACCCGGAGTACAGAGTACAACTCTTTTGAATCTGCCTTCCAGCGCGGCTGACGGATATAAACCCGCGGAAATCATGAGACCTATGTGCCGATATACCACTTTTATACCTGTTTTGGAGGAAGAAACTTTTTCTCGTTCTGCTAAGCCAACTCTCTGTCTTCTACTATCTGTCTGTTGTTTATTTAATGACGATGTTATTAGTTCAGAAAATGTAGCGTCGAATAACACGGTGATTAATGGCAATTTAATTGGAAAAGATATGGAAGAAATCGTTCATGCACTGATGTTCGATACTATTCCAGTATTTTCGTACAGGGACCATGGATCATCAACAACAGTTAGAGTTACAGAATTTACTATTTTCTGGTTGTTCTTTATTAATAAATTTAATTTATCATCTTCTATAAGAATTTAAACAATAATGCGTGTAATTAGAAGTTTACTTTCTCATATAGCCTACGTTATTACTAATCTTCCTAACGCATTTATTTCAGTAGTGGAAGAGAGATTAGTAGGTTGAGAAACACTTGAGAAAGTGAATGGATCCCCGACTTCTGATATTTAGTTGGAAACGTCCATACAAATCACCATGTGTGTCATTATCTGCAACTTATCTGAACAGAAACATAAAAAGTCAATGATGGACAGGTGATAGGCGATAAGTGATTATGGTTGGATTTGTTGCCAGAAATGTGTGAAGTGGTTCTTGTCTAATCACGATTATCGGAAAGCCATATTTTTAAGTTTCAGAATAAAATTATAACAAAGTCAGTGGATTTCAACCTTTCTTGACAGAGTGAACGAGTAATATTCTATGACAAGCCGAAACAGCTTCACACACTTGTGTTCTTTGCAGGAATACGAGTTCACCAATAAAGCAGTTTTAAAATATGGGGACTACAATGGAGAAGGTCTAAGCCTTAACTTCTCCGTTGTTAAGGCAGGCTAGGTTTAAGACAGGAGAGGTTGTTGGCCTGCATATGTCCTGAATACCCTTATCTGAGCAAGCCATTGTGTGGCTGGATGTTAAGCCTAGGTTATTACATAGGGTCACAGTTCAACTGACATACTAAGCAGCAGTCGTATTTATTCCTTGCAACGACCCTATGCTTCGAAAACAAGCAGAGAAGTGCCCGTCGAAAATAAATTCAAGTGTCATACAACCAAACGAATTGTTTATGGATCCAAATTTAAAAATAAAACCACAACTTTTACATTCACAATTTGTTTAATTTTGTTGAAAAACTTCTTAAAAATACGTGCTTAGTTTTATGTATAAATGTAATATTGTTCGGGAGTTGTTCACAGTACGTTATTTCCCTTGAAGATGGCAGTAGAAGTCACGCAAGAATGTGGTGACATCTCTTAGTAAATTCACACACTGACAACATTTACTCACAAATATTCCATATTCCGAAAAAATCGAACGTGTTTCGAATCTGTCCTTGTTTTCTTCGACATTAATACTCGATATTAATAATGCCTTTTAAAGCAAAAGAGGTTTCGCTGCCGTTCAAAGGGCACAATTTGCCCAACCAATAACATTTAGAGAAAGGGAGCCCAAGATGACGACATCGAAGGTAAATACGGCCGGAACTAGAAGCCGCAGAAAGAAAGAAGATAACGGGATAAGGAGCACGGTGACATGACAGTCGTACGCAACAAAATTAATTATCCATGGATTGGTGCTGTTATGAAACGAAGAATCCAGGACTGAGGATAAGAATAAATTCTTGGCCATCGTAACCGCCTTCTGGGCGAGATTTATAAATACCAGGACTTCACAACAGAAAGCATGAAAGCTAAGAGAGAGCGAGAAATATTAATTAGTCTCATACCGTGACTTAATGAATTTAAATGGAACAGAAAGGGCTAAAAAAAATTCAAAAATCACGTTTCTTGGTGAGTGCTACAAATTTGTAACAAAAGCTGCACAATTTAACCTACAAAATGCATTTCGGCTTTTATCAGCTTCAGCGTCTCTTGTATGAAGCTCGTAATGCCACTCTTAAATCTTTTTTTATCTACGGTTGTAATGCGTATTCAAGTAAATGAACGAAATGTAGAAATTTATTTGCAACTCCCTTACAATCCGCATTCAAACAGTTCAGATGCCACTTCCTAGACTAAAAATTTTTCGTCAGCAATATCACAAAAAGTACTGAAACACGTATTACTTTAAATTAGACGAAGCACGTGGTGTCTTCTGCAGTAAAAATACTTAAAGAAAAAATTTTCTTCGATCCTATATAATATTTATTTTGTAAAATACTTATAACCAAGATTCTTGTGAACAGAGACTGAATACATGTAGGATTTTAGGTTCTCAGATATGGCTGGCTGTCTTCTGGGTTGTAGCGCTGTAGTCTAGTGGAAGTTTACCGACGTTTCAGCAGTCTTTGATGCAACCATTATCAGGGCGATGAGTGCTGACGCAGGCAGCAAGGACCTCTGAAACATTCGTAAGCTTCTACCAGACTATACGGCGCTACAACCCAGAAGACAGACATCTTATTTCAATTTGAATACGTTTAGTGCCATAATGTGCAGGCCTACTTAATTACATTATGAGGGGCTCCATAGTTTTCATTCTTCATTCTACATCTCTTGGCCTGTGGTAATTTCAAAATTACCTTCTCCGATCCCCGAGCAAATATATTTGCCAATACCAGGTACTACATTACGAGGCCGGAACGAGTCAATATGACCTAAGTCGATCACTGTTTGATGGTGATGATGACCAGATACAACATCCATATAATGAGAGGAATCAGATACAGTCCGAACTAAGATTTAAGTAAACGAACTGCATTGCGAAAAGTTTGGGAAGTAAATGCCATAGATGTTAATCGTTATCTCTTCTCATGAAAGCAGACGTCAAGATACTGACGATAAAATTCAACGTCTTTTCTACCTTATCAGAGTTGTCAGGTGAAACGACAGTCGCCAATTGAAAGCCCACAACAGCAGAGAACGAGAACTGGTAAACAGAATTATTAAAGATCATTGATCATTCTTTGCACATTCAAATAATTTATAATTTTTACTAGTGACTTAGTAATGCAGTTTGGTTAACTTTAAAAGTACATATCGTATATCAAACTGTTAGAGTACTTATCAGATTTCCCAGAAACTCTATGACCATAAGTGGAATTGATCGGGCAGGGGTATGGAAGGCAGCCACTGGTGGATTATCTACACTTCTATTTAGATCATCAATCAAATTCAAACTCTATACATACAGATACGTTTTTGTCATTGTACAGAGTGGGCCAAAAGTCGCGCCCCATACGAATGCGCTGTAGTATGAATAAAAGACATTGACTTCCTAGATGTCACGTTTCCGAACCAGTGAACTGAGCGTTGTGGTCCCGTGGAACGGCCACCGCCGTCACCGGACCTTACGCCTCTATACCTTTTCCTCTGGTGCCATCTGTAGTCTGTCGTTTACACCGACCGAACATGAAATGTCCAGTGACATCTTGCAGAACGAGACACGGTCTGAGTGCGATAAAATCACTGAGCGCTGTAGCAGGTGTAAGCAGCTGTTGTGTTCCGTGTCAATACGTTCCTCGAAGTTGGTGGCCAACAATTTGAACATCTGCTTAAATAAAGATGATTCAACTGTAAACCCTTTGACCTACTCTGAATTATTTTCAATACAGCACTTTGAAATTAATAATTCAGTTCAAGATTAATTTGTTTTTATAACATTAAAATGTATGTTTACAACATAAGTGTCATACACAACTGAAATAACCAGTAAACATGGCCTTTATTATTGTTTATTATATTGCTGCAATCGGATGAGTCTATGTCTCTGTGGAAACAGGTACCTAACTGGCCGGAAACTTGGCCTAATCATCGCATTAAAAAGATGCGCTTCTTCTGGCCATGGCGTCAGAGTGCTGTTTAGTTACATATCGTGTAGTGAGCAGGACGGACGTCAGCTGGGTGGTACTGAGATAGTAGAAGACTTGACAACGTATTTGATGGCGCAACAATTAATAAGTAATTTTCTGTTACTGATTTTCCTGACATCAGTGAGAGGAAGGTAAATATTGTGACAGTGAAAATCATAAGGGCACATATAATTTTTCTTAAAATATTTTTCTCTCAAGTGCATGATGTACGCTGAAAATGTAAGTAGACACGTAGATAACACGAATATTATGACGAATTAAATTGAATGAAAATCGATAATATTAATTTAAGTTCTGTACGTAAAGTTCTATAGTAAATTAACCTACATATAAACAAATGTCACTGAGGACCAAAGGTATTAATTAATATAAAGTGAAAGACAGAATATTATACTTAGTTGCTTTTCAGCCTTATGTTCAGAACATGTCATTAGGACAGACCAAGTAAATCCGGTAGGATCGAAACTAGAAAATAATACTTAATATCCGTGTCTTTACTGAAGTTAATTTGTGGTGCAAAAGCATAATTACACATGAAGTCAATTACAAGATGGTAAGATTTGTCTGGAAATAAACACAAAGAAAACCAAAACACATCTTAATGCATCATCACCAGATGGTGTCTGCACTGCCACGTATTGTGATGTGGTCTACGGTAGACGCCACCAAATTTTGTACATTAATAATACCTGTACCATCAGATCAGCCCTAAACCCAATGATATATGCTAGCGTGGGAGACTTCGGAAACGTGGGTACCTTCACTGGCCCTTCCAGTGAATTAAGGAGAGGCGTTGGGAGGCGTCCATACAACAGAATTATGTTACGTAGAACTGATAAGCCGAATGGACTGCCCAGCCAGATAATTGTGATAAGAGTAGCCATATTCTGTTGCTTCAGAGAGAGAGTCAGTACATCCCGTTTGTTAACAAACCCAATACTGCGTATAGGTAAAAAAAATTAATAACTGCAAGAATAAAACAGCACAACACACATCTCAATCTACACGTGGAAATGGCTTATCACTCGCACGTGCCACTGATTACGTAACACACGTAATTTGGAATTTAATTTCTCTTTCTATCGTGGTAGTAATCCATCAGATAAACCGAAACATTATTATTGGATTTTTACCAGCGTGCACAGCAGTGTAACATAATTTCAAGAGAACATATTAAAGTCTATAATAAATTTAAGCGTGTACAACCTAAATATCGTTTATTTTCTTCCCCACAGATCAGATTAATTTGATTAAATATTAATTACGATACAATATGATTATATAAGGGCAGATAATAAATCCTTCGGACATGTGCCAGATATAAAACTTTTGGGACGGGAGTAACACATCGAAGTTTCCGGGAAATGTTTGCTACCATTCAGTTCAGAATCGTTGACCTTGCCTTCTGCTAACTAAAATCCCAAATATTAAAAAAATATGAGACCATAATTTTACCTGTTCTTTTGTAAGGGCGTCAAACATGTTTCTCAACCGGAGAGAACAACATATATGTTGAGGGTGTTTGACAAAACATAGAGGACACGTGGTCTTAACAGAAAGGAAGTAATAAGATAACTGGAAAAATTACAAAATTATTACCTTTTTAATATTTACTACTTTCGGAATATTAATAAATGAAGACTGTGATTTGTAAACGGAAATGAAGCTTTTGTTTCCACAAAAAGCTGAGAACTTAAGTACCTATACTTTAACCCAAGAAGTACTCCGGTCCATAAAGTTACTTAAAAGCAAGCTTAAAAATTAAAACAATTAACCAAGCAATCAGAGAGTAGAAAGGGAATTTGTTTCGCTAAGTGACAGGAAATATATATGTCACGTATTGTACACACGGATAATTACGAGGCGCGTCCCAAAAGTAAGTTTCCCTGGGGCCGTTTACAGAAACAAAACACAATTTCATAGAAATATTTATTGCAACACATACAGCAAGTGTCCAGCTATTTTTCAACATATTCGCCACCGGAATTGAGACATTGGTCATACCGTGGAACCAACTTTTGAATACCTGTGTCGTAGAAGTCTGCCGCCTGGGATTGGAACCACTGTGTGACAACCATCTCCGCCTCTCTGTCATTCTCAAAACGCTGACGCTGACCGGACAGGAATTTCTTGAGGTGTAGGAAAAGATGGAAATCACTGGGAGCGAGATCCGGGCTGTAGGGTGAATGATTAAACACCTCCCAGCTAAACTCCTGCAGGAGACTTGCTGTCCGTCGAACCGTGTGCGGCCTAGCGTTATCACTGACCGCACTTCACAGGCGGCGGGAGCTGGAATAAGAACCTCCATCTTCAACAGCTGCAACGATGCTAATGTGAGAACGCGGGAAGTGCCGTTAGTGCATGAGCCATGCTACGTCATTGCTCTATCACGTACGCAAAGTAGCTTCGCGCAATATAATGAAGGAAAGCTGTACGTGAACCAAAGAAACAATAAGTCAAAGAAATTACGGAATAATGTAATTATTAAAATACCTACTCGCAAGCAAAATGCAAAAGGAAAAGAAAAAAACGAAAAACCAAATAAATGCATACGCCCAAATAATAATTAAAAAATCACAGACGACAAAGTGACGTGAAAAGATGATTATGATTAATAAGATATAGAGGATGTGAAAGAAAGCAGCAATGGGCTATTTTAAAGAGTTGCCTGGGGAGAAACTACGATGAAACTCAGCCAGAATATCAGCCTCTTGGCTGAGAACTGAACCCGCGATATCCAAAATACAAAGCAGGTTTATCAACCACTCGACCAGACGTTCGCTTTCCAGCAGCTGTCGGCAACGTCTTCTGCGACGTGCTTCGTTTTAGAAAACTTCAAAATTTAAACACTCCATGCGTGCTTAGTTGTTGTTTTTTTCTGAATGAGTACTCCATTGTATAGGAATTACGGAGGCCTACATTTATACAAAATATATTTGATATTGGATGTAATTAACATCGCATTAGTAAAAGTACTGCGATATTATAACTTTTTTCAAATAGTATAGCAATATAAAACATATTTAATCAGGCCTGTGGATGGAAGTGGTATGTTCGTCCGAAGCTTTGGTATCTACTAACAAATCCACACGGTGTTAATATTCTGAATACTTTAATCGACATCTTAACTTTCTCCACATTTTAAGAAACTACTTCGCACGTGGGGGACTTTCAAGGCACTTCCTCGGAAAACTCCCATTGAACAGTGGTAACAGATTTTGTGGAGTGATTTGCGTCGCCATTTTAACTGTCTCGTCAACAGTTGCGCTCGTAGTGGCTATCGTTGAAGTTACGCCTTGTAATGCAATCCATTGATATTACGCATAGAATAAGCTTAAAGTGAAAAAGACGCATGCATATGTTGTGAATGGAATATGAATGCAAGATCCTTGAAACGAAGGTTTTCAATGCTGTTGTGCTGCTATGGTGTCATCACCTGCTAACGAACCATGAACTACTCCCCAGTGCAAGAACATCGATACCGTAGTTTGGGACTAAGAACAATACAGTGTACTTTACCGAGCCGAAGATGTGGAAAATACATATCTGGAAGGTAAGCAGAGCAATTTTGCAGCAAATAAATAGTAGGGATTGATGTTAAATATCTTTAAAACTGATCGTGGTTCGAACACTGGCACCAAACAGGAAATTTTACGGAAAAGTTCTGGGCGTAAAGTGTCTGGTTCGAAATTCGACCGGGCTATTGGCTATCCTAATTATTTTCAAGCTCTTTCCCAGTCTTTTAGGCGAATACAACATTAACAGACCTACCTTGAAAAGAGTTCAGCCTCTATCCTCTCAAATCTGTTGATGGTCACCTTCCACTTTTCTAGAAGCCACATAGCCCCAACAGTTGGAACAGCGTCGATGCATAACCTGTGAATCAGTTAATCGCTATAATACAGGCGTGAATGATGGGTAAAATGTAAAATAATAACTGCTGCTTACATTACTTCCAAGCTCTACTTCCTATAAACGAGGGTCTATTGACAGAGTCATGACACAATTTCAGTAGCGAAGTTAAACATAATTTTAAGTTCGCAATTTATGATGAGATAAATACACCATACACACAAAAATAACAAAAACAAAAACAATTGTATTCAACCAATATTTCATAAAAGGGCAGACAAAACCGGTCTTCTTAACGTTTGCGTGTTTTGATTCGTAGTTAGGTTCAGTTTAACTATTGCGTGAATAAACTAAATTTCTGTTCCATTTCGCACATTAAAACACTTGAATAACATTTTAAACAGTGTAAACGTCAACTTCATATTGCAATCATTTATATTAAAAATGTTAAACCGTTAACATTACATTCAATGTGTTACATTCAAATGAATTAAAATTATTGTTCTCTTTGTTCAATGTTACAGCAACTTTATTTTCTGTCTGTGAGTCTTGATCGAGGAGCCACACCAATTAAATCTGGCTAACATTCTTCAATTAACTACTTCATGCTGTTAACTGCGCAGTAATTTCGTATTAATTGCTTCCCTCTAACTTATTGTTTGTGGTCAAGGTTAGCTGTGTTTCATCTTACTCAATTAGGACTAATTTCAACCAAGCCACGCCCCATCTGTAACAGATGCTTTTATTACTGACTGAATTAATTTTAAAAGTTGTCAGACCTATAAAACCTTAGGAATTATAGGACTTAAAGCTCATGATTCAACAAAATGGACAGACCTATTACTAGAACTGAAAGAATGTTTTTCAATTTTGCTTCGTATTCGTGAGGTCCCGGGTTCAAATCTCGTTTCGGAGACCGGCTATCCTGACTGGGTTTTTTTTATTTTCCTCAGTCACTTTGGTGGTAAATTCCGGGATAGAACCTCAAATTAGGCCACTACCGCTTCCTTCCACATCCTTTACAATTCATAATTCACTATTATTCTCTCATTCGAAGTCTGGGATGCTAAAAAGCGTCGTTACATAAACTGTAAATAAATAAAAAAATCATTTGCAGTAAGTCCCATGATTCAAAGTAAAATAATTGTGAAATAGATCATCCAAATGTGCGAGATGATAATCAAGGAAACAGATGCAGGAAACTGTCCAATGTTTAACAAAACATTTTCAAGGCAACGCAAAACAACCACAAGAAGTAAATTTTTTTTGATACATTATTTCCAGACCGCCATATTATTGAAACGGTGGCTTTCATATTACGTCCTTCACATATTTGACATGGTACATATGATACTGCGTGTTTCATACGAAAGGGTCATGTGTGTAGAACGCGACCATTGCCAAATCATTAGAGCTTGTCAGTCGGTTTGAGGCCTCGGGGTTTTTCAGCACTTGCGTTGTCTAGATCAGTGGTATTCAACCTGGGGTACGCGTACCCCCGGGGGTACGCAAAGACATCTTAGGGGGTACGTGAAATTTAAAAAAAAATATTATTTTATGATAAACACTGAATAATCAGTAATGTAATTTATTTAATTTATTTTAGATGTAGATTATATACTATGTATAACTTGAATTATACACCAACAACTTTGGGGGTACAAAGTTGAAGAGAAATTATATCTGGGGGTACGCAAACAAAAAATGGTTGAATACCACTGGTCAAGATTGACGCACAAAACTGGGAACGGCAGCATAAAATAGGAAGTTGTAGAATATGTAGAATCTAAGCTGAATTACAGTTTCATTAAACGCAGAGAACCACTGGAGGTCATGGTTGCAGAAAGCTCTTAAATTCTGAAAGTTATAACAAAAAATTTGACTTTTTGAGATCTGGTTAGCACAGACATGGGGAAGGGGGGCTAAAATACATTACACGCGGAGTAAAATGGATTACACTGACATTTTCTCAAAATATTTCGGGAATCACTGGTAAGTTTGTTGAAAGCCATTATAATAGATTTACCAAGACACATCAAGAGACGAAAGTGGGGGAAGATTTCAGGTTGTCGTGGCGGCGAATATGAAGATGCCTGTCTTCTGGGATGTTGCACCATGTATAGTCTGGTAGAAGTTTACAGGCGTTTCAGAAGTATTTGCTAGTTCATCAAGGCGTTTCCATGATAATGGAGGTATACTCTGAAGATGGCTTTCTCCTGGGTTGTTGCGCCGTGTAGCCTGATAGACGTTTACCGACGTTTCAGAGGTCCGTCCTACCTCCATCATGCCCTGATGATGGAGGCAGCAAGGACCTCTAAAACGTCGGTAACTTCTACCAGACAATACGGCGCAACAACCCAGAAGACAGCCATCTTCAGACTCACAGCTGTGAAAACCTCAAATCCTACGAGGGTAGTACCCTAATATCAAATTATGAAGCTTCTATTCTACATTTTCGTAACTCATCGTTCACAACGTATTTCCTTATTTTACGACGCTTTATCAATGCATACGTTTTCTTTGCGCATTGAACGTGTAACCGAATTTATATCGTGCTTGGCGACATTTGTAACCGATCAGTTTTTATAGGTGGACTACATTTGTGATTACCTGACGACGTAGGTGGATTGCATGGCCTGTTGATACTAAAGGGAAAAATTACAGGGGTAGTAGTCCGGCAAAGTTTTCTCGATGATGGCATGAAGGAATGGTGCAGTTATGAATCACTGTGGAACAGTCACAGACTATGAATTTTAATACGCCACTTCTCGCTAAGTTCAAACACAATTCAAGTGAACATTTATAAAAAAAATCATGTGAAATTCAGAAGATGGCTTGTCACAGGAGTCGTTCTGATTTTATATCTATTCCGAGACAAAGTTTGATGCGGCTACACACACACTTGCTTTTGTTAACTGTTCATTTAACGTTCAGAAATACTAAAACCACGCCTATTATTGTCGACAATTCATAAATTACTAAGTTAATTAACTAAATGACTGTAATCTACCGCACTGGGATTCAATTCTGGTAATTGACTGGAGACCCAGCTCGTTTGCAAACTAACAGGCTACAATATATGCATTTATTTACAAATACTTTCGATAAAACTATCATATCTTAGATGCAAAGTTACTTTTAAGAGCACGTGGTTTAAACACGTGGAGACTATTTTATATAGGTGCTTCCACCTGTTCGCCTCGAACAACGTAATAGCATTTCCATTTGTACTGATTACATGTGATATTTCCAATGGCTCAGTGTTATCGCATGTTAGTCAATAGATGACCTCTCTTGTAAAACATATCACTTCATAACCCACAAAATCTATTTCAAACAGAAATTCAAATAGATTCTATTTATATTCCATAAATATTTTACAGTATTCCGCTTAGCCATGCGATATACACGACGTTTCGGTAGTTGGACTGTGTTCCCCTCTTCAGGTTGTTGGTTGTCATTTTCTAGACAATTTTATAATTTTTTAAAAAAAATTTAAACGCATTAGTAGCAAAATGGGGTTCACTGAATTAGTTGTAGGCTTAACACAAAACTAGACAGTCCGGTGATGTTTTATCACACTTCGTAACAATAGTCCTTAATCTGAAACGAAATAGTAAAAAAACAATGGTACTTGTGGGTTATCGGGACACATCGCTTTAAAAATAGGTTAGGTTAGATTACGTTAATGTGTGTGAATAAATGACATATACTTGAAAGTTATTATATTTTATTTCAATAAATGACAAATTATTATATTTTATTCGGATATGCATGAGATGTTAACTGTTGTTACAACCTGTCTCCGGAGGCCAAAATTCGCTTATAGATTTTAGAATCGTTTTAAAAATATCGCCGTTATCATTTGTACGCCGCCACTTGAACTCAGCTAAATAAGAATCCAGAATCTTCCTCACTCTTAGGTAAATCCCAAATTTTTAACATTGTACCGAACAGCAATAAAGAACTGAACGAACCGATAACAACAACAGAGTATTACGAGTATACTTACACGCATGCGCAGTTTTCCGTCCAATCCAAGTCCAGATATTCGACTCTCCCGTTTTGTGTCCCGATAACCAAAAACAATTTAGATTATTAGAGACAAAGTAGTACAAGTCAACAAAGTTACAGAAGGCGTGTTTCTGGCTCATGTTTCCTATTTATTCACTGAAATCAGCGAAAATACATTCCTTCTGCAAGAACACCAAATTACGCAACATTTTTATTTGGTTATTAACCAGAAAGCCCACATATACATTAGTATATAATTTGAATTGTGTCACTACCTTTGAGAAGCACAATTAAAACTTTAGTCAAAGAACAGGAGATTACATCGCTCAACAAATAAAATTATCAAAATGTTCGAATTCATAACTGTTATCTTCACCGTCTTCCTGATAACAACTTGGACTCAACAGTTATGACATGCGATCTCAGTTCATGCGTGCTGTTGAACCCAAACTGAGCTTGTACGCCGAAGCAGAGAACTGGCACGACATTGGTTAACTGCGTAGGACCGCGGGGGCTACAGGGGAGTTTGGTTCGGTGTATGGTGACAAACGACAGTGACGTCTCTTCTTTGACAATAATTCTTTTGTGAGAAAATGCCAAGCAGATAATGAGTAAGTGAGACATTATGTGAGTACTCAAGTTTAGAGTTATTGTTAATTCATATAGTTATAAAGGCCCTCGGCTGTACCTGGTTATTTCGAACACATCACATATTGCAAATAGAATGATTAGGCAATTCTTGTTGGCACAGAATCGTATATTGAAACAAAAAGGTGAGTAAGTGATATCTGATAATGTTTTCTTTAGTACACGGTAGACTTTAAATCAGGGATGGCCAAATTCTTTTAGCAGCAGGGTCAACATTGTTTAAATCAAGGGGTAAATAAACATGAATGGATAAAACAAAGTGAATGCAATTTTTCTGAAATATGCATAGTGTATATAAATTATCTTTACAAATTTACTCGTGAATGAAAGCTTTATGAATTGATATAGACGCACTGTTTGAGCGTCATATACGAGAGAAACTCTCAGTTTCACAGAGTTATGATAGATGTAACACCCACTGCACATCATTCTTTGTGAATCATGACAGTCGCCATGAACCTGCAGGAGAAGGGACTTTGTGGAGTGGTTTATCGAAATGAAATCGGATACGACGTTTCGGAACAACTTATCACAGGACACTACCATCAAAACCATCAATACGTGCCTTGTACAAGCAGTTCAAGTAGACCGGAAGTGGTTTTACACAAGAAAGGTACAGGACGTCCACGTGTGTCTGGTGAAAATGCCGAAAGGACGCACAGGATCTTTGTCCTCGGGCCACGTTTGTTGCAAATGCCGCCCCATTCGACAGTGGATCGGGTGTTACGAAAACGTTTGTCTTAAGGCTTAGAAGCTGCAAGTTATTATACAGGATGATAGGGTTAGTCCATATGGAATCTGCAGTGACCATCCTTGAGAAACTGGACGAAGACAATGAATTCCTGAGGAAAATCATGTTCTCTGACTAGGCCACATTACACGTTTCTTGGAAGGCAAACGAACAGAACGTACGCATCTGAGGATCAGAAAGCCTCACGCTGTATTAGAGAGAGAACCAAAGTTTCTGTGTGCTCTGGCCTGTTGCACGATCGTTTGATCTGACCTTTTTTGCCGAAGTGTTTGTGACATCCAGCAATTACCTGGTTTTGCTGTAAAATTTTGTCTACCCACAGTTAAAAACTGCAGCCTGCCATATGGGTTCGCCGTGCTGGTCCCATTTCGTGACCGGCCAGATCACCAGATATCACACACTGTGATTTTTTGACGTGAAAACGTTTTTAAAATCGATGCCGGGTGTGGGGAGGCAATCGCGCCAAAATGAGCGACAGTTTCTGTCGAAGTAATTTCAAACTTCAATAACTCAGCTAAAAATAGACATAGCGCCGCCATCTTAGTCTCGTTTTAAAGAGGAAGGATGAACGTTTGTGCCAGTACCACTCCAACATTCATGGCGGCCGGACGTCGCGAACTGCGCACGCGCAAAGTGAACCCACGATTTTCGACTTTCCGGATTCGACACGTGTCCATAAACGGGATCATATCTCAGAGACTAATTATCCGATCCGAGTGAACCAAGTGTTGTTTTGAAGAGGAGTGTATATGTTACAACTCATCCTGGCCCGGGCCCGGACCCAAAACCAATGCGCAGTACTGCCGCGAATATAGGCAACGTAAGCGCGCTCGGACAACTCAGGCGGCATCTGACGAGCCTGGGTCAAGTATGGATGTGTACCAATTAAGAAATAATCATTTATAAAAATGATTATATTTACAATATTTCTAAGTTAAACTATTAATTATTAACTAACCACGCAAGGGAAAACTTGTATAGATTTGACATTTTCAAGAGGTATTCAAATAATTTCAAAGCCATATGTATCTTACTTCTCATACCACTACTCTGTATTCAATAAATGTAAGTTGCAAATGAATTAAACCATTCAAAACAAAAATTTTGTTTAATTTCAATATACTATACACGATTGACGTTTTCACGAAAATAACTGCGGCAGTGTCCGACACTGCCTATCAATTTTTTCCTATTGGGATACGTAACAGAGTTGTGTACCGAAGTCGGTGGCCGACATCAACGATCTGATCAACAGAATTACAGCTGCTATTGCAACTGGTGATGTTAACATGCTGCAGCGTACATGGAAGGAGCTTCAATATCGTTTTGACATTGCACGTGTGACAAATGGTGCCCATGGTGAATACGTGTAATGTTCAGAACAACCTTTCGTAATTTCTCTCAGATGACGCTAAGCTAGTGAGTCTATGTCTGCATAAAAGTTCTATTCACGAGTAAAGTTGTACAGATAATTTATATACACGCGGTACATATATCAGAATGAATCTGTATAAAAAGTAGATATAAGCCAAATTAAACAGTACCTCGAACACGCTTTTCAGTTAACAGGTGTTCAATATTAATTATATTTAAGTTGAAAACAAGTACACTTCTCATATGAGTAGCCTGTCTGTTAGCAGGCTTAGAGGTCTGTACCAGTTTTTTTAACAAAATTGTATTGTAGAGTAGCTTGATTCAAATTTTCTCATATCTTCCTACGTGCACTTAGAAACATGCAAATATTTAAAATAGGGGACATTTTCGAATCGCAAACTGTCAACATTTTTAGTAGGTCTTGAATGATTTTTAACGTATTTTTTCCAAAGCGATTTAGCTCGAATGCTTACTATTTCACTATCCAAAATGGAGAATGGAATTATGAAGATGAATTATTTTATTTAGTTTGATAAATTATATTGATCCTCTGTAATTGTTTACTCCTTCAGGGACCGCAAAGGATGTTGATGATGATGAAGCGGTATACACGAGTTGGAGGCGCTGGTGTTCTCCTTGCATTAGGAATCCTGTTACTGTACGTCATCTTTTGGTGCTCAAGAAAAGAACCACAGCCATTGCAGAGGTTATCATATCGACCAGAACTGTTTGACATTGTAAAAGAAAGCATTTTCACTGGATTCAATAATGAAACAGGATCCAAAAATGGTGAATACATTATTCCAAACATCATCCACTTCTTATTCTTCGGAGAAAGTCGTATATCTTACGTCGCTGCGGTATGTGTTTTGGCAGCGTTCAAGAACCAGCATCCCGAGAAGATACTAGTTCATACAGACGTTGACAGTTTCAGAGGTCCGCACTGGGAGAAGCTGAAGAACACTCCAAACCTGACTATAGAAGTTCATAAAATTCAAATGCCAAATGAGATATTTGGACAGAAGATCAATCATGTCTGGCATGCTGGAGACGTTACGCGAATAAAGATCTTGATGGACTACGGAGGAATATTCTTAGATAACGATTCCTATTTGGTGAGGAGCCTCGACTGTTTCCGGAAGTACGAAATGGCTCTTGGGTTGGATGAGAACGGTTACATAGGAACTCAGGTTTTAGTTGCCCATAAGGAGGCAAGATTCCTCCGTTTGTGGCTGGAGACGTACAGAGAATACTACCCTGATCTCTGGTACTTCAACGCAGGTCAGAAACCGGCACTTGAAATTCTGTGGCATAAACCAGAACTAGTCCACAGCGTTAGAACACTGTTCGGAGTGCATGATCTATCTCAGGAACTCTACCGACAATACAACTGGAAGGAATGGCGTAATTATCACACCATCCACCTCTTAATTAGACACAGACATTACTTAGACAGTTGGTGGAATTTTTACTGGTGGCCAGAACTAAATGAAATTAATATCCACGATTACCCTATGACGTTTGGTCAAATGGCCCGGGATGTATATGATTTCAAATGACATAAACGATGTATTTGAGTGTACAAGGACATATGACTTTCCGATTATAGACCAAACTATAAAAATATTTTATTCATACCCATTAAAGAACTAACAGTCCCAGTGACAAGTTAAGCCTAGTTCAGATAAAATGCTAATTTATTTAATTTAAAGAAATATATAATATTATATTAATAATTAATTTAAGTGGTATTTACTATCAAAATTGAATCATCACAATATTTAATAAAAATTGTCATTCCGTAAAAACAATGGCATGCAGGAACGTCCCCAGATAGTGCGGGGGTGGGGGTGGGGCAGAGCGAAGCAGTCTACACAGGGCCCTTCCCTAATATTTCTAGGTGGGCAAGAAATACGTGAAAAAAGGAAAACCTAATGACAGCCGGTATCCTGCAAGTTTAATAGTGCTGTGGCGAAGCTATATATTTATTAAAGAGTGTTCTGCCCACTCATTCAGTTACTGTCGACACATTGAACTTTCATGCTCGCCCCCCTGACCTTAATTTATTTATTATTATTATTTTTACTGTATCGTCGAATTACCTCTCCCCAAAGTAAATGGCACACACAATGTACTTATTAGTACTTGTTGATTGTTACAATCAGTCACAAACTCCTTTCAGGTAACTTACCGCTATACTAAAAAAAACATTTAGGGATCTTTAGAGACTATTGTTCACACCATACCAAATAATGAACTCACTGCTAAGAAACCAAAGTTACTGAAACCACAAAATTAAACAAATATCGTCATAATGAATTGGGGTCTGGGGAATTAGTCCCGATTTGTTGTACACTACAGACGAGCCCAGTCATGTTACATACATTTACGTACCACTCATCACCCTGATGACGGAGGCAGTATGACCTCTGAAACGTTGGTAAACATCGACCAGACTACACAGTGCAACAACCCAGAAGACAGAAATCTTCATACTCACCGCCCTGATGATGGAGGCAGTATGACCTCTGAAACGTTGGTTAACATCGACCAGTCTACACAGCGCAACAACCCAGAAGACAGAAATCTTCATACTCACCGCCCTGATGACGGAGGCAGTATGATCTCTGAAACGTTGGTAAACATCGACCAGACTACACAGTGCAACAACCCAGAAGACAGGAATCTTGAGGCTGTCTTTGTATTTTTCTTTCCTCGGTTGCAACGCCGTGTGGACTTGTAGTTAAATACCAACATTTCAGAGTAATATACTACCCCCATCTTCAGGGCTGAATATAAAGACAGTAGGCTATGTTCCTCCAATACGTTGGTATGTTTCCACACGCACAAACGGCGTTGCTACCGAGAAGGGCACCAGCGACAAAACAAATCCTCTCTGCCCCCCCCCCCCCCCCTCCGGTTGAAATAGCTTAGACCTGGTGGGTATTACCTGCTTTTAATAATACAAATTCTGAATTACAACTCATAACAACATTTTGAGCTGTAAAGTACTTACTTTGCCCTACTGTTTCGTCTGTATTTTTACAGATATAGCAGAGAAGTGCAAACAGATTTTCAGCTTATTAACTTTTAACAACTTAATTAAACCACAGAGTGAAAATAAAATCAACGGAAATTTGTTAAGCATGCTTAGGTATACATTCACAGTGGATTCCGGTTAATTGGGACACATCGGGACTTAACACTTTGGCCCAATTATGCGAAGTTCCACGTAAAGAGTTAAAAAAGTTTGTTCTTTAAGATTTGTCCCAAATAAGCGGCTGCCCCGATCAACCGATGGACCAATTAACAGGAATCTACTGTATATATAAAATGCTGAACAAAGATGCAGAGTGAAATAAACAGGGATCTTAGGACATAAACGGCTGATATGAATTGTATAGTTGAGGGAGTTACCCATCATTTACGTTAATACGAGGATTAAATAATGTAAAAGGAATGTTTTATAAAGGAAGGCCTAAGCATGTCTAAAACGTCCCGACTACAAAGTCTAGCAGAAAAAAACTATTGACTCTAAAAACCTGGAAGGTGTTAATTCTAATTATAATACAAGGCCTTTCAATTGTTTACTCATTCAAGTATTAGGCTGGAGATTTTCCACGTATCACACTTTGTACAGTAAAAACAACTGCCTACAAATCTAATTATTATCAGCACATGTAAACATGTTTAATTACATTTTTATTAACATACTAAAATTGAAATCGTCATAATCATCCCCACTTAACCTTGCGAAATGAAAAATTGTACATGAGAGCTCAACTGTAGTTTTCAGAAATATTCGTCTTTCAGCGACTGTACATCGCCTCTCCATTTCTGGAGGGTGAACGAACCGAACAAAGGAAAGAAAGCATGAACTTTCATGCGACGACATGCAGAATTTAATTTTAATGGTTTATAGTCACACAACTGCCAACAGCTGCAATTTATAGCCTTGTGGTTCAATTTTCATTCACTGACGACACCGTGGCCATCCCTGACAATGGCCTTCAACCAGTACCCACCTGCTAGGGCCCCCAACACTTCTCAGAAGCCAGGTACGCACCTACAACTACAATGAAACAGAACAAAGAATAATTACTTCCGTTCCTGCCATCACACACACAGAGCGAGGGCTGCTATCTACCGCCGAAAAGCCGAATAACGGTTTCTGCAAAGAAAGTGGTCGTTGGTGTATCGTTAGCAGAGAAACTGCTGTACAGTTCAGTGTAGAGATAATGTTTTAGAAGCTCAAGGGTCTTTAGCCGTGCATGCGTGTAGAATTAAACGTGTAGGTGTGATTCAACAGATGAAGTGTCGAAGATCTTCAAAAGTCTGCAAAGTCTGTATTTCACGTTTATATGTAAAGGTAAGTTACAAAGCAAAACATTGCTGTTAAGTTCGTTCAAGCAGACACCAAATCCCACTTTTGTACACGACTCAAGGTCAATTCCCCCAAAATACATCATATTGTTATCACCGAACGCCGCGCCCGAGTGGTTAGCACTCATTAGTATTCTGAAGTCCTGGTTTCAAGTCGTATCTCGAAGACCGGGTTTTTCGTAGTGGTTTTCCTTATTCCTTGCAGGCAAAGGCATTATATCAGGCCACAACTGCTTGCCTCCCAGTTTATTTGCAATTCGTTGTTTGCTAATCATCTTAACATTTGACGCTATGTAGTCGTGATATGAGTTGCTGATTGCGTCGTTAAAACGATCGTGCATTGATATTAATGTTATCCTGCGGACTCCTTTCCTTCAGACCACACTCCTGTATATATCTCCCCATTCTGTATGATGCAACTCACAGTTAACCTCCACAACGTAACTAGGAAGTTCATTGTTATGTATAACTAGAAGATTACACGCCAAGAATGTCGGAAAAATAGCAAGCAGTGGGCATTTATATAGTAGCATGGCTGTCTTGTTTCTTACGACACGTCTGAGATTGTAATTGAAAATACTAATTTTAAAAACTGATTACAGACCAACCACATAAGAATATACTTCAAGATGTCCTTCGTGGCTGTACCGTGCATTTGCTGATCATTATGTAATACAAAATCAAGGCCTTCTGAATCTATGATGTCATCAACCAGTTCCCGATAAACAGTTGAATCAGTAGAGAAGAAAGAAAATAATGTTTCAAACTTAATGTCATAATTCCTCCTTTGTTTTGTTAATAAGAAGTAAGGTAAGAGATACACTTATGATTTTATATTGCCTGCATTCTAATAGATTTTAAAAACTGATCTTTTTGTGGAGAAAACCTACGTCACTGTTGCGCAACTTTAATTTCTACGAGTTTCTTACTGTGATGTATTTAAGTTTTGTAAATTCATACATAATCCTACAAAAATTCAGTTTTAGCTTGCTGTTGATGTGAAACACTCTTGTGTAGTTGGTCATGAGATAAAATCTGAGACTAGTTAGATTTTTCATTGTTTGCAAATGTAAATAAATATAAGACTTATTATTTTGACGTAAATACGTCTATACGGAAGGCTCATTCGGCAAAAACAGCGTTAGTTACGAAGATGTGTAAGATCCAGCGTCGAGTCACCATTAAACGTTCATTACTCAGGAATGGTAAGAGTAAGGGTAATGTAACCTATATGTAAAATGATCAGTAAATAAGGACCTTTAATAATCTGTAATGTATATTATTCAATTTGTAGCTTACAAACAAACCACAGATCAATATAATACATTGCATAAAAATATCTAATAATTTTAAAAGAATTTTAAAATATTATAAAATTAATATAAACCTGAAGATGAGGTCTTATCTATCGAAACATGTCGTAAAAAAGCGCTAAATAATGTAAAATCGTATTTACGATAAAAAGCGCCAAAATATAATATTTTATACTACATAATGTTTTAATATTATATAATTTTAACAACATCATTTAATTACAACGTTTGTGTATAGACTGTGAAAATAAATATAAATGTATATTATTGTAATTATAATTGTTTATACATTTATTGTAATTTTAATGAACCAATGTGTACAATTTTCAATGCATCTGGCGCGTTAAGCGCCCGCCTCTCGAGATGGATCGGACAAAGACGTATTTACGTCAGATTCTCCGGAACCGTGGTTCCACTGTCAATTTTTTATTATCTCATTCTTTTAGAATAACGTATTACTAGGGCAAAGTATGCGTATCAGATTTCGTTGAAATCGGTTAATTGGTAAAGAGTTGAAAAGGACACACACGGTCGCACGACAAGCACAGTGATTTCATATCTGCTCTTTACATAAGTAAGGAAAGCATACAAATGTCTATTTATAATAATTATCATAATTAAAATACGCATAGCTTGCACCAAATAGATATGCCGCGACCCTGAACACGAAAACTGTACATCCCCACTACATGATACTTTGTCTCCCAATATTCCATCACGAATTGTTACGGTACGGTAGGCCTACTATAATAATATTCATATTAATCACAATGATAACAACGAAAACATGGCTCACCGCCCGGTATTTGAAGACTACACCTGTGATGTGGGTGACGAAGAAGAAATTCCATTTAAATCAGATTATTTACATTAACAGAACCTCGCTGGCAATCAAGAACCAGGTACATGGACTCAGGATTTGTGCTGACCAGTATAAATACGGCATTCAATTATAGCATTTCCATCAGATTAATTACAAATATAAATCGGAATTATGGCGTAATTAAGAAATATACGTACAGCACTGGAAACTGACATAACAGTTTAAATGAGATTGGTTGCGTAGTCACTAGCACACATAGGAGAAATTAAATATGCGTACACAATTTTGTTCCGAAAAGCTGAAAGGAAGAGATAATTTGGAAGAGCAGTGCATGCGTAGGAGAACAATATTAAAATGGATCTTACAGGAATAGCTCAATGACTGGATTCAACTGTTTTAGTGTTTCGTAGTTTTGTTCGCAGGTATTTATAAACTTTTTACCACATTTACAGCTGACAACAGTATTTAAGTCAGTTTTAGATTCCCCAATAATGTATCTGAAGTCTTTGTGACGTGTAGGACGCTGAGGCCACAAATAACTTTAGGGACAACAGTAGAAATCTACAAATCTCATATATTTTTGGAAAAATAAAACGGAAATTAAACTATTTTACCTGAGATTATTGAAAGGGTATTTTTATTTTATTAAGTTATTTAAATTTTGAAATTGATCATAGACACAATTCCGGTATTTATTTTTTGTTTTAACGATACGCCAAAATAATTCAATCTCATAAGCGCTTGTAGTAGAAGGGTAACGCATTAACATTGCAATTGTTCCAGAAGTAAATGAAGTGACACTAAACGAATAATTTATTAACATGTCCACGCCACCACGTGCCTCCGTCTGTTTCTTCCTTAATGAAGAACAAGTATTATCAGTCAAACTGGCATACAGTTTTGGCCTTAACATACTGACAGAAATCTTCACGTAATAGAGGTGTGTTGTTTTCTTTGAGGTAAGAACTGAATGCTCAAAATGTTGTTTACGTTTCAGTGTGTATCTATACTTGCATATCTGTAGCATACGAAACAAAACACTGCCCAGATTTGCCGCTCATTATCGTTCACTGTCCGCCATAAATAACTGGCTACGTGTAGAAGGTGCTTTTGCATCTAGTAACGTTTAACATAAATATGGATGTAGGCGTATATCCCCCAATGGAGGTTCTGGCTTTAAATTTTTATGCTTTCTTTTCTGAAACAAATGAACGCTTAAGTGGGAGGGGTTCTATCAGTGTCTGACAATCATCCGTATGTCCCGTGTCCAAAACTTCTGAATAGATTCCAATTAAATTCAGTCTGGGAGAATCTTAAATTTGGACGAATTTAACTTAAGTTCGTTCCGAAATGATACTCTACCCAAAGCGAAACTTAAATAAAATGTTATCGATGGCTTATCGTAAAAATAGTGGTTCCAACTTTTGTTTTTAACTTTAACGAAATACAATTACACAGCTTTGCAGCAAGATTCCTATTTGCAGTGATCAGGACTGAAAATGGACGCAGACTCAGGCAGACCCCACCCTGTTTACTTAGTTCCAGGGCGTTTTTATTTCTGTAACAGCTATTTCCAGTGCAAGACGTCATAACCACTGCTCCCAGTAACTACAGGGTACATGTAGGAACGAATCCTCGAACCTGTATTGTACAGATTTCGATTATATTGTATTTTGGCCAGTCCTCTGGACTTTTCTACTAATCTAAAAATGTGTACCTAGTTCCGAAATCCATTTACACTGCTGGCAATGATAGGTTTTTGTCTGCAGGTAATGAACATCACGGTATACAACATATTAACAACGCGTTTAAAGTAAAACATTTATACTCTCGTTTTACAAGAAGAATTCTAGTTATTTTTTGTATTATTTCGAAGGACGCTGTCGAATATTCAGATGAATCACCTCGTTCATTCTGTTCCAGCGCTATCATCATGAATGAGGATCAGTGATAGTTTATTTTTCAAGTTGTACGCTGATGAAATGTGTCTGGGACGAATATTTGAACTTAAAGTGACGAGGAAGTATCAGGATGTCGTAGACAAATACACGCTGAGGGGGTTTCATAATTCGCATTCATCACTGAGTATCGTTAGGCCAAGCCATCAAAGGTGAGGTGGACAGAACATGGATTGACGAGAAATGCGTACAAAAAACAATGATAGTAACACCTGAAGGGAAGACCACTTTTGGAGACCTAAGCGTAGATGGATGATGATACTGAAATGGGTCTTAAAAATAAATACGGAGTGTATGGAATGGATCCAACTGATTCAGGTTAGGGTTCAGACGAAACACTGAATGGATGGGTTAAAAAGATAGAGTCCCGTGTGAAAAGTACAATGGACCTTCGATTTCTATAAGATGAGAGAGTTCCTCGACTATGTGAGCTAATATCAGCTTCTCAAGGACTCTTATCCATGGAATTAGATAACTTAGCTTTATGTAGTGTCGAATTGCTGGATGATTATAAATGATTTGGTAAGGACGTGGAAGAAAGCGGCTGTGGCCTATTTTAAATCTGCGGTTGCCTAACGAGATAGAGAATTATCTACGAAAAACCTATCACGGTATGCGGTCTGTGGGATAAGATTCGAACCCGAATACGACAAGGAACGTAAACCGCTGTTCTTTGCGGGCGCTAGAAGAGAACCCTCTGGTGCGAGATTCAGGAACTGCGGTTCGCTCGTTATCAGTTCTTGGTGATTTATTAGTTGATTCTAATCTGGTGAACAGGGAGTTTAGTCAACAATATGGTTTGGTGTGCAGCCAGGTAATGAACTATGTTTTAGTCTCCTCTGTGTGAAAACTGTTCGGAATCTTGGCATCTTTTGTCAAGGACAGAAAGATG